AAATTATATATTTAAAATAATGTATATTTAAAAATAAGAAAAATGCTGACATGACTCAGACCCGCACCTGGTTATATCTGTGTTTCTTCCATTTTAAATTTGCTCATTCATCAATATGCATTGGTTATTAACAAATTTGGATTTGTAAGCCAAGTGGAAAGTTGAGATATTTTCTTCAGGAATAACCAGGATTAACTAGATAATTTAAAGATTTTCTTGATCTAGGAATTAAGAATTCCTATGATATGGCGGCGTGGCACGGTAGTTCATGCCTGTAATCTCAGCACTTTGGGAGGCCGAGGCGGGCACATCACCTGAGATCAGGAGTTCGAGCCCAGCCTGGCCAACATGGCAAAACCAGTCTTTACTAAAAATACAAAAAATTAGCCAGGCGTGGTGACGCGCGCCTGTAATCCAAGCTAGTCGGCTGGCTGAGGCGGGAGAATCGCTGGAACCCAAGAGGCGGAGGTGACGGTGAGCCGAGATCGCACCACTGCCCTCCAGCCTGGGCGACGGAGCAAGACTCCGTCTCAGAACAAAACAAAGAAACAAAAGAGAATTCATAAGCTAGGGAGACAGAACGATTTTCAAACAGTTGTACTCCCATTCCAAAGACACGCTTCCAGTTTCCTGATGCTGTCACCCACCCACGTGGCTGCATCAGGCGTGGGGTCCTGAGGGCAGTGGGGCAGGGGCGAGGTCGAGCGGGCAGGCGTGAGAACCGAGGGCAGAGGCGGCAGTGAAGATGCCGCACCCAAAGGGCAGGAAGAGGCTCGGTCCACGCCGGCCGAGCGCCACGCGGGGCGGGAGGTGATGAGAAGGTCGGTGCACCTGCCGCGCCTGCGCGGGACGGTCAGCCGTGGGGCTCGGCGACCCCGTGCGCCTGCGCGGGACGGTCAGCCGTGGGGCTCGGCGACCCCGTGCGCCTGCGCGGGACGGTCAGCAGGGGGGCCCGGCGCCCCGTGCGCCTGCGCAGAGCGGAAGTGGCGCCGCCGCCAGCCGAGGAAAGGAGGGACGGCGCGTTCAGGTAACCGGCTTTCCAGCGCCAAGCGGGGTACGGGAGGGCAACGGGCCCAGGCGCCGTGAGACTGCACCCCACACCCGGCACGGACTTCCCTGAATAAACGCGAAGGCCCGGGCGCAGTGGCGCAAGCATGTAATCCCAGCACTCTGGGAGGCCGAGATGGGCGCATCACGTGAGGTCGGGAGTTCGAGACCAACCTGGCCAACGTGGCGAAACCCTGCCTCTACTGAAAATACAAAAATTAGCCGAGCGTGGTGGCGGGCGCCTGTAATTCTACCCATGCAGGAGGCTGAGGCGGGAGAATCGCTTGAACCCGGGAGGACCTAGCCTCTTACTTAGCAGAGGACGTAGAAACCTTTGGGCTCTGACCCCATCAAGTCTCCCTTTCAGAAACCAATGGCATCTAAGAGCTCCGGGGGCAGAGGTGCGGCTGCGGGCGCTGACGGGGCAGGTCCGCCGCGGGCTCCCAGGGGTCCTGGGCTTGGCAGGGGCTCCTCCTCCTCGCTGCGCTCTCCTGGTTCTCAGGCCGCTCGGTTTCCGGGTGCTCAGGGCCCTCTATGCACCACCCCAGGCTCTGAAAGCAGCCCCGGTTTGAGAGCTACCCTGTAGTTCGTGACACTCTCCACCACCAAACCCCGGCCCAGCCCAGATTCCCTCCAAGCGGCATGGCGCAGGCACAGCGGTCATCGTCTCCACGCTCACCTGTGATTTCATCCATTCTCACCTACTCATCTCCACTCTCAGAAGTCCCCGGGTCCTCCTGAATGCCGACCTCCTCCTCGGCAGCCTCCTCACCCACTGTCCGCCACCAGCCATCCCCTTTCTGCTCTCCCATGACTTCTCTTCCCTGTGTTTGTTGCTTTCAGACCACAGCCTTCATCACGTCTACCCCATCTTTTCAAAAAACACCTTCCCTTCCTTTAGACTTCTCTCCCCCTCGTCCAAGTCTCTTTCCCCTCCCTCCACCAGCAAGCTTTCTGAGAAATGTTCCCCTCTCCCTGAGCTCGTCCGCCCCTCTCTTCCATTTCTCAGCCTCCCACAGTCTTGCCTCTGTCTCCGTCACTTGCTGACACTGCTGAGATCCTCAGTGACATGCCCACTGCCAGTCCCAGCAGCCTGTGTCCCACCCTGCGTGTCTTCTGAATTCACTGCAACATGTAACGCTTGCTGGCGACCCTGCCCTGCTGACGTTCTTCCTCGGATGAAAAGGGACGTTCTTTCCAGGTTATCTCCTTTCTCTTTGGCTATTGCTTCTACGTCTCACTGAGGCCTCTTTCTGTTTCCTCCCTCAACTATTAGTGTCTCCAGGATTTGAGCCTTAGCTCCACTTCTTTAGTCTCTCCCAGGGGCCTCATTCATCCCCATGACCTCAGCTGCCATTCGCAAGAATTCCCAGATCCAAACCTTTGATCCAGCCTTCCATGGAGATTCTCCGGCTGAATGTTCTGCTGGGCTCCAACATGCAGCAAAATCGATTCCTCCTCCCTCTCAACTGGACCACATGCCACAGTCACTAGGACTTGCCTCGGCGTCTCTGAGTTCCATCACTTCCTCTCTACTCTTTCAATACAAGATGATTCCAGCCCCCATCCCCTCCTTCCTTGACGATTGCCATAGCCTCCTAGCTCTGCCTCTAGGCTCTACCCAGTCCAATCCATTATTCACCTGCCTCTAGAAGTATTTTTCTAAATAGATGATATGGTCATGGCTTGTATCTCACTATGGGTTTTGTCAAAAGCAGACTCTGAAACGAGGATTCTGGTGTAGATGATGTATTTGGGAGTAGGGAAGGAAGGTAGAGAACGGAAGCCAGCTAAGAAAGGGTGTGTTGTCAAGCCAGTTACCACTGTGGGTAGCTGGAGCTGAATGTTGCCGGGCAACTCTAGGAGTCCCAGAGAACATATGCCTCTGAGGGGTGCGAGGGCTGGGTTACGTATACTCCGACTCATCAGGCAATGAACGGTGTCAGTTCTGTAGCTGTTCATTGCCCTCCTGCAGTCATTGGAGGCAGGGGGCTGACGAAACCCTCAGGCAGTAGAAGTTCAGCCGGATGTTAGAATGGAAAGGTGCAAAGGACGAGAGAGGGGCGCGGGTGGAAGGAGAGGGACAGTGTCTGTCTCATCACCCTCCTGCTTAATAATCCCCACAGCCGGCTGCCATTCTGACCTCCTCCCCTGCGCTGCTCCAGGAGCACTTTCCCTCCACTCACACAGGAGTTCTGAGGCCTTTCCTGAGGAAGACAAGCACCCTCGTGCCTCCATGCCTGGGCGTGCATTGCTCTTTCCTCCACATCACCCTTCTCGTTCAGCTTAAGTGATAGTACTGGGTGTGTGTACTGAGCACCTGCTACCTGCAGTCATTTCTATATGTTGTTGATTTAATGTAGCCCCTATAATAGCATATGAGTTGACTATCTAAAAAGCGTGATCATCTCCATTCTACGGGTAAGGAAATTACGGCTCAGAGAGGGTAACTGAATGCCTCTGGCACAAAGCTAGCAAGTGGCAGGGCCATGCTGGGGGACCCAGGCAGTAACCACCGGGCTGAACTACCTCATACTTCCTGCCTCAGCTCAGTGTCTGTCCTTGCTCCTTCTCACCTAAATAGAGGTACTGTCAGCCCTGTCTTCCCGTAGCCCAGGGTACTTTTTATGTGGATGCCTTTATTAAATGTGTGTTATCTTGTAGTGTATTTATTCATCTGACTTCCCTTTCAAACCATAAGTCCCTGCCATTTTATTCTTTAATGCTTGGCCCATTGCATAACTCGAGTAATGCCTTCATTAACTTTTAAAACAGAATTAAGTTGATTCAGCCTGGCATGGTGGCTCATGCCTGTAATCTCAGCACTTTGG